ACTGTTGGTGCTGGCCCCCAGCAGCCGTTCTCCATCCCCTCCACTGTGGCTGCAGGCATGAAACCTGTGTCCTCTGCTCCAGCTCACGGCTAAAAATGGGGTCTCAGTGTTCCCTCTGTCCCCTGTGCTTCCCAAACCCAGGCAATGGAAGGGAAGGAGGGCTGAGTGCTCTATGCCCAAGTGCCTGGGGCCATGGGACACCACCGCTGCAGGGTGGGGAGCACCTCAAACTGCAGAAAAAATAGCAGAAAACCCTCAAAATCCTTGAGATGTGAGGCTTGCATGGGGGCCTGTCACCCACCACACCCATCCCACAGTGCTGACTTTCTCCCACCACCCTTTGGCTCCCCAGAGCTCCAGATCTCTCTGCCCCATGGCTTTCTCAGGGTCTCCTGCCCTCTCTCCTCCCAGCAAGGAATAAATCACCCTCTGGCTCTCAGAGGAAACAGCAGCCTGCCTTGCTACCTCCTTCCCACGGGATCTGCCTGGAAATGATTTCCCAGAACAGAGGGGGGTTCCTTCAGGAAAGCCATCAGGGATGGGTGGCTGTGGACCCTCTGAGCTCCTGAGGATGGACATCCCCTCTCTATTCTGCCCCCCTCTGTGCTCCCATCCTACCCTTGAGATGGATCTGGAGAGTGGACCTTTGAGGGGGAAGGAGTGGGTTTGAGTTCTTGGCAGATTTGTTAAGACAAGCAGCAGGGAGCTCAGAGCAGCAAGATGGGACTCTGTGTTTCACAGCCACCTCCATGACCAAGTTAACACTGGCACCACAGCAAAACCCAGCAGACAGCCAGAAAAATATCCCTCATTCAATCCTCTCCAGTGGAAGGCAAAAACACTTGGGTTGTGAATCTGTCTGGCCTCCAAGGAGGTGCTTTCATCTGAAGACCAGGGGGAAAAATCAACCTAGCAGGCTTTGTTCTCGCTTGGAGAGCTCTGGGGAGCCAGGACCATGTTGGTGAGGAGGACACAGAACCCAGCCAGCCTCCTCCTTGATCCCTTGGCACGAGCCCATTAGGAAAAAGGGTTTTGTCAATGGGGAGAGCACTTATGAAATGTAACAAGCTGTGCCCAGAGGACCATTAGCACCACTGGATGCTTCCTCCACCCAGCAGTCTCTGGGGAAGTTTTTGTCAGCGATTTCCTCCCCAGCACAGGGGGAATTGGCTGAGGCAGGGTCCCAGCGGGGCTGGAGCAGGGAGACAGCGTATGGTTACTAATGCACCTCCTGGCTTCTCACCAATGCCAAAAGCTCTGGGATCACCTCCAGGAGGTCTCTGCCCATCCCCTGGGATGGGGGTGATGGGAGTCAATGGGAGTCACCGTCCCTGGAGGTGTTGAGAACAGTGAGGATGTGGCTCCGAGGGACATGGTCAGTGGGCACAGCGTGGATGGGTTGAGGTTGAACCGGGTGATCTTGGAGGTCTTTTTCAACCTTAATGATTCTATGGAGTGAGCAGCATCATGGGCATCTCAGAACGGGCACGACCACCCCGTGTGCAGAAGTCTGAACCCCCAGGCAAAGCCTCCAACTCACGTTTCATTTTCCCTGTGGTTGTTGTCTCTTGCACAGGTACAAAAGCGTGGTGACGCCCCGGCGAGCAGCAGTGGCCATCGCTTGCTGTTGGATCGTCTCCTTTCTGGTGGGACTCACCCCAATGTTCGGTTGGAATAACCTGAACAAGATGCTGGGGACTCAGGATCTGAACGCCAGCCATTCAGATTTTGTCATCAAATGCCAATTCGAGACGGTCATTAGCATGGAGTACATGGTGTACTTCAACTTCTTCGTCTGGGTCCTGCCGCCCCTGCTGCTGATGCTGCTCATCTACCTGGAAGTCTTCAATCTCATCCGCAAGCAGCTCAACAAGAAGGTCTCCTCCAGCTCCAACGACCCCCAGAAGTATTATGGGAAGGAGCTGAAGATCGCCAAGTCCCTCGCGCTGGTTCTCTTTCTCTTTGTGCTCAGCTGGCTCCCTCTGCACATCCTCAACTGCATCACCTTGTTCTGCCCATCCTGCAAGACGCCTCACATCCTCACCTACATCGCCATCTTCCTCACCCACGGCAACTCGGCCATGAACCCCGTTGTCTATGCCTTCAGGATCAAGAAGTTCCGGACAGCCTTCCAGCAGATCTGGAACCAATACTTCTGCTGCAAAACCAACAAAAGCAGCAGCAGCACCACGACTGAGACGGTCAACTAAGAGCTGAGAGATCACTGCTGCCAGGGAAGGGGGGATGAGGACCCAGGAGGGCTGAGTTTGCCATTCCCCGTGCAATCTGAACAGCCCAGCCCCTGAGCTGCCCCCAGGGGTTATTTATTCACAAGCATCGTACTGTTTTGATATTGTAGCCTGCACTGTTCCTTTCTTTTTATTATTATTTTTTTTGTTATTGTTCTCGTTTTATTATTTTTATTTTTAAGTGTTGCCAAGTATTTAAGGAGATGTTGTACAGATAAAGATGCGGTTTATCTTAACGCAAATAAAATAAAATGGTAATGAACACCCAGGAGGTCCTCCACCACTGATGGGTTCCAAGGGCTCCCTGGAGCTGTTTGCAATGTTGGGCACCCCATGCTCTGCCCACCACATTCTGCCCTTTGTGCAAGGCAGGGTCGCATCTCCTCCGTAGTCATGAAGGTTGGAAAAGACCACTGCAATCACTCCAGCCTCTGTTTGCCTCATTTCTCTCCCACTTGTTCCCTATTCCCTCCCCACACGGTCAGACAACGTGTACAGAATGCAGACACCTCCATTGCCCAGGGGAGCAGAGGAGCCTGCACCCACCTGGGGTGGTTTGGGGGCGCTGTGTCAGGGCTGACGCTGCCATGTGTGCCTCTCAGGTTTGATCATGGGCAGGGGGTATTGCTGGTCCTGCTGGTCGTGGGGTTGAGCTGTCCTCCCCACCCGGCTCTGCAGTCTCTACAGCAGCACTGCCAGACTCAGCTCTGTGGCAGGATTTCTTCCAGCGGTGGGAAGAGTTAATTAGAGTTAATTGGAATTCCTTTCTTATCAGCGTCCCCTATTCATTAGACTCCCTTTGGAAGGACGTTTCCTATGGCCCTTTCCCAGCCCTGGCAGGGCTGTGCCCCTCAGACGTCACCGATGGCAAAATGACTGCAGTGAGTTCCCGTAGGGGCTGGGAGGAAAAGGGCACTGAGATTTATGGGTGGCTCTTTCACTGGCTATGGAGCACAACTCCATGCACGTGGGTTCACCATTGGCCCACCCCTGCAGACAGCCATACATTGCTCTGAGAGGAAGAGGAGGATAGCAAGGGAGCGTGGAAGAAAGGATGAGAAGGGATGAGGGGCTCTATCCCACACGTTTTGCAGGGGTCTCGATACGTTCAGGGTGGCTGTGAGCCCTGCAGGTTCAGACCACGGTAGGTTAATTGAGTGAGGAACAAAAGAGGAAACGAGATGGATGCTTGTCTTGGGTCTCAGCTCTGTAGAGGGGCCCCAACTGCCCCCCATCCTACTCCAAATCCCTTATCAGTAGTGCCCAGGGATGCTGCAGCCCCAGGGCAACCCAGAGAGGACCCCCAGCCCCTGCCCACAGCCCCTTTAAGCAGCAGCAGCTTGGCTGCAGATTAGGGCTGTTGTTTACTGAGCACAGGTCAGATTCCCACTTGTGTCATATTTCTGCAAGAGGTTGCTTTCCTGGAAATGATGCCTTTGCCTGCTCCCTGCTAAGGTGCCCAGAAACCTAACAACTGGGATGTTCATAAATTAAAAGGCACTTGGATGATTGCTTTCAGTAAAATATACGTCTAGCAGATTTTTCCACTTGTGTGCCCCCTGGACCTTTCCCAGGAGGGCTCACTATGAGTGGATGCTGTTACCCCCCTTGGTTCCCTGGGGGGTTGCAAACACGCTCCTTGCCCGGCAGGGCTGAATTAACAGTCAGAAAAGGGGCACAGTGTGCAGCACTGCTCCAGGTTGGTGACGTCTCTTCTCTTCAACAGAGCTGCACACCGCCCTGCTAACAGCCCGCTCCCAGCACCTGTCAGTGCCACATGCTGAGATGATGACAATGTGAGAGGGCAGAACATCAGCATCAGTGCCCAATGCCCAGTGGGTCTGCTTGGCCCATTGCCCAGCCAGCTGGACCATAACCTGCTCCCCGGTGGCATCACTAGTCCCAGCCACCTCCATGAGCCAGCCTGACCCTGGGCTGGGATGAAAGTTAATCCCACGATGCCCTCTGATGGTGGAAAGTGTGGTCTGGTGTGAGCAATGCCATGATGAACCCTCAGGCTTCAGTCTGGGCACTGGGGGACCTGAGGCAGATGGGCTGCAGGGCTGATGGAGCAAGGGTGGCAGCTTTATCCATAGGTTTGCAGTGCCATGGCTCACCAGGATGTCAGTCTGTGGGTCTGACCCCATGCTCCCTCCTTGCCCCATGTGCCTGTTCCATCAACCCCAGCAGGCTGTGCTGATGGCAAAGTGCTCTGTGCTGCTGACCCCTGCTTAGCAGCTCATTCGCTCACCCTGATGGATCTGTCTGGGTTCTCTGTTAATTACCAACATCTGACCTGAGCTGTCTCACAGATGGAAGTAATGAGGCTGCCTTCCTGCACATGAAGGACGTGTAGCTAATGGGCTGATTCCTCCTCTGTATAATGCATGGGCACAGCCTCTCTGTGTTTGGGTGAGAGGGTAATGGTGTGCTGTGGAATTATGGCAGCCCTGGTGAGGATGAAGAACTTGCACTTGGATGAAGGTATGCCAACATGACTGTGTTGTGTTGTTGCTGTTTCTCTTCTTCATTCTCCAGCTGCAGCAGGTAACCCTTCCTCTTCCTCAATGGTTTGGTTCTGCTTTAGCCATCTTCATGTTTTACAAAGCTGATGCTTTCTCAAAAGCTGTCTCCTCCACTCATGGGTGTGTGGAATGCTGTGACACCCTACAGCATCCCTACAGCTCCCTCTCCTCCATCCCACTGCCCCCCGCCCCACTGCAGGACACAGTGACTGTTGAGGACCAAAGCTCAGATAGGCTTGTTTTATTGTCACAGATAAAAACACACCTAGAGAGGGCCATGCCATGGCCAGGACAACACGCAGGACCCAGGGGCACTGCTGGGGAGGGGACAGGCCTGCAGGCTGTGACAAGGAGCATCACCATGTGCTGCGCTGCTGCAGCATCCACCTGGGTGAAAGAACAGGATCTGAGTCCTGCCAGCTGCTGGTCGAAAGTGAGATGGGAAACCAAATCCCAGCTGTGGCTCCAAGGGATGACAAACCCACACAAGTTCCTCCACCTTCATCTGCCCCACAAGGTTCATCTGCAGCCTTTCAGCTCTGCTCCTCTATCTCACACACCTTCATACCTGCCTCCAGCCCCCTGTGTGTGTATTCACCCCGGTATCTCCAAGCCCTGACTGTTGTCCATGTGTCTCCCCATTCATGTCCTCTTTTCTCTTGGTTCATTTACAGCCTTCCCTCCTCCCAGCAAAGGGGCAGGTTTCTCCCATCTCTCCCCACCAGCACATCTCCAGCCCTGGGAGGAGGCAGTCCCCAAGTAGGGTTTCATCAGCAGCTGGCAAGGGCCAGCTGCTCCATCTCCAAGTTGCTCCATCCCCAAAGGATCCACCCTCAGCCCCAGTCCCAACTTACCTCACTCTTCGTCTCAGCCTCCAACCTGTCCTCACTTGGGCACTGTAGGAAAGTATGGGAGATGTAAAGGCCCTGAAATCCCCTCACCTCACTCCCCTATGACATCTAAATGTGCACTGGGCATGACAAATCCTGTCAGTGTGCTCACACCTATGCACAGCATCCCCGTGCACTCACACTCTGAGAGCTGACACATGCACTGCCTTCTCCCAGACAGTTTGTCCCCATGACACCATATTCCAGCCTATGCAATGGTCAGGTGCTTTGTGTCCCCAGCACAAGGACAAGCTTGTCATCAAGGTTTGGGCTCTCTGCTGACGCAGGGAAATGGGAGCTGGAAAGCATGGGCAGGATCCTGAGACATAAATCATGGCACCCCAGGTGCAAGTGAAGCAGTTTTGGCACGTGTGGCTTGGGGGTGACTTAGGACACAAGTGATGGTGGACGCAGTGAGGAGCAAGTGGCCGTTACAGCCTCTGCCAACATCTCTGCTCCTTTGCATCTACAGAGTCTGGTTTTCTGCCCACTTTTTGGCCATGAATGAAAAGCAGGGGATGCTGCAAGACTAAACCCAAGAAGCCAGAGAGCATCCCAATGCCCTTCAGCTCCTCCTCCACCAAAACCCAACAGAAAAGAGGCACAAACTGCACCAATGTGACAGCAGTGGAAGGCAGGCAGGGAGACCTTCTCCTGTCTCTCCTCGGTCAAACTTACTTTTCACATCAAGTTTGCAGTCTACTGAGGCTTCCCCCAAAGGGTTCACAGCTTTGCAGGTGTAGACGCCCGCATCGAAGGGGCTGGGCTTGCGGATTTCCAGGGAGCAGACGCCCTGCTCAATCATTGCTATGTATTTTGGATCTTCCCGTATCTCCATCTTATTTTTCATCCAGATAATTTTGGGCTAGGAGGCAGAAGAGTTTCATTTATTGACTTATTTTTAAAGCAGGGAGAAACATGAGAAATCTAACTGTCCCCAAAATATAGCCATCTCCTTCTGCTTTGTCTTGGTCCTTCCCAGTGCCACTGGCCATGATGGGATCCATTGTCAGAAGCCATTTGTAGAGTTAAAACACCCATTCTGGAGCTCTAACCACCATCCACAGCTCCTCTCTCAGTGTGGAAGGAAACAGGACATGGCTTGAATTGAGACCAACCTCCCCTTCCTGTGCAGAAACTCCCCAACCTGCCCTGCTTTGACTCAGAGGGCAGCTGCAGACCCTATCTCCATTCAGCCCTCATTCGACGTGGCCAGCCATCTCCCAATACTTCCAGCCACTTTGCAGAGCCCAGCTGGTGGCTGCCTGCACACAGAGGTGATGCTGCCCTTGGAGGAGCACTGACCTGGGGGAAGCCCCGGACGGAGCAGAAGAGGTGAGTGCTGTAGCCCCGGGTGGTGGCTCGGTCTGTCAGGGGTTGGGTGAATTTGGGGGGCTCCATCATGTCCCGTTCGGGGATCTTCTGTGGCTGGTAAACAGTTTCTAGGAAATTAATGAAATCAAGGTGAGGCAGAGTTTGGGATCCTTGGTTGACCACCACACAGCCATGTGAGCCCAGCCCCAAGCCTCCCAAAATACTTCTGCTCTCTCACATGAGCTAGGTGGCATCTAGAGCGACCCGAGGGCTCGGCCTTCAGCTCAACCAGCCCTATCTATAAATCTCAGCTCATCCAACCATGCCCAGTCCTGGGCTGATGCAGCCTCCTGCCTGTGAGCCAACAAGGTGATGCTTGTCTCGCTCTGTGCAGAAGGTCAGACCAAGGCCAGGCCCCTCAGAACCTTCTACTTCATCCATCCCAAGGACTGAGAGCCTTGCCCCGCAGGGCTCATCCTGGTGACCAGCCTGAAGGCATCACCACTGACCCAACCCCAAGTAAGCCCTGTTGGGGACAGGATCCCTCCCTCCCACCCCATCACCCCAAACCACTTCCCCGTCCCCACTTGTCTTCTTGATGTGAGCCACCCCAGAAGCAACAGCTGCTGTCTCGCTCATCCCGCAGGCGTTCTCTGAGAACACACGGAAGGAGTACGTGTTGCCTATGATGAGGTCGGAGATGGTGCAGCTGGTGCGGGTGCAGCGCTCCAGCACTGTGAACCATTTCTGATGGGGGGGAAAAACAAAAACGAGCGGTTGGAGGCTGCCTAAAGGAAAGGGAACCCAGGGGTGCAGCCCCAGCACTGGGGTACGTGTGGCACAGGAGTGGCCGGACTCACCCCGCTCTTCTTGTCTGACTTCTGCACCATGTAGCCCTTTATCTCAGAGTTTCCGTTGTCTGCTGGGGGACTCCACTCCAGGGCCACGTTAAAGCCCCACACATCCACCAGCTTCAGGTTCTGGGGGGGACCGGGCCGCTCTGCAATTACAGACACTCACATGGCTGTGTCCTCATTTGCTCCCCACAAATACTAAGCTCTGTCCATCCTCTTCATTTTTAATGTATTTTCACCCTGTTGCAGCACACGAGAGGTGAGGATCTGCTATGGGCATGGGCTGGTAGACATCCTGCAACCCCCACAGCGATTTCCTCATGCAATGGAAGAAGGACCCCAGGGCCTTGCCCTTGCTTTGCTGCTGTCCCTGTCCCATACCACCCAGACCTATAGGAGCTACCCCCAACCAAAGGGCAGAAATGAGCCCCGGATCCACCTCTCACAGCACAACGCCACGGGTCCCCATCGGTAGCCGTACCAATCACTCGGATATCCAGGATGGCTTTGTCCTCTGCTCCATTTATCCTCACTGCAAGCTGGTATTTCCCCGAGTCACTGCGCTGCGCCGTGCGGATGAAGAAGATGGTGTCCTTCTCTGTGTTGCGGATGTTGACCCGGCTGGTGTCCAGGGGTTGGTTGTCCTTGGTCCAGGTCACCTGGGGCTGCGGCTTTCCCTGGAGGAACCCACGTAGGTAGGTTAGAGCAACTGAAGGACGTGGTCCCAACAGGGTGAGCAGAGCCACTCCACTTCATCCAGGCACAGCCATGGCCTGGATACGCACCATAGAATCATTTGAATTGGAAGGGACCCTAAGGGTCATCTAGTCCAACTCCCCTGCAGTGAGCAGGCACTCTCCCATCCAGCAGGGCCCAGGGAAGAAACTATAGCGAATCCCCATCACCACCCATCATCCGTCCCTAAAGTCCCCACCCAGCAAATTCATTTGCCTATCAAGAGATTTGCAGACAGAGCCGTGCTCATGTTGCTGAGCTAAGGGTTTGTGTTTGGTATCCATGGCTGATTCACCCCTGGAGCACAGCCAGCACAGGCTCCCAGCTGCCTACAAGACAGGGGTGGACAAGTCCCTCACTGCAGGGACAGCTTTCTTTCTCTTGCTTCTCCCTGCTGGGAGGTGTTTCAGGGGTGGGTTTAATCCACAGCAGATGCTGTAGTGGAGATGCTTTGAGGATGCCACAGACAGCAGGTAATGTTAGCCCAGGAGATGGACTATGGACTCCAGCTCATCCCACCAGCATCATTTTCAGTACCTTCTTCACACAGCCCTGGGTCTACCCTGCTCCAAAACAGCCGCCTTCCCTGGGAGGACACCCAGCACTGAGTTTCTGGGTCCACAGCACTGTAAGCCAGGTTCCTGAACAGGAACCACAAGCTAAGACAGCAGCAATACCTAGTTCATGCCCTCATCTGTTTGGGGTTGTCCCCTTACCAATGGGAGCTAGGCAGGAATTGGAGAAGTGTTCCCACCCTTCTCAGCCTGTAAGACATGGGACCAGGACAAGCTAGCACATAGCAGAATGGGGCATGCTACGTTGGCTAGGAAGGTCACTGGGGAAACCAACCCTGGGTGAGCAAATCCAAGGGATTAAACCCCAAATCACCCACATACCTGGAAAGGGATCAGGAGGTTCACGGCCTCCCCAACGTGCCTGACATACACCTGCCGCAGCTGGCGAGGTAAGCGGATCCTTGGGAGATCTGGGAACCAGAAAGTCAAACAGTGGGGCCAGGAAATCACAGCTCACAGCCTCATCGCATCTCATAGATGTGGTCAAACATAGACAAACCCATCCCAGGCATTCTGCTCTTGGCCATCAGGATGTCCTCCCCAGAAGCAACTCTTCCCTTTCATCACAAGGTTTTAGTGGGCATGGTGATGATGGGTTAATGGTTGGGCCAGATGATCTTAGTGGTCTTTTCTTAATGATTCTACTATTCTGTGATCTCCTGGACCGTGCTTCCCGTTGCCAACACTCCAAAATTACTTTCTTGTCCATTGCAATGCAATGGCACCACTACAATAAACCATCTTTATAGCCTGCCCATGGCAACCAGTGTGGGTTAACCAGCAGAGCCCACGTGACAGCAAGCTGTGGGCAGCATCTCCTGGTTGGGAACCATTTATGTCCCAGCTCACACAGCAGAATTTCTAGGAATACACAACCCAACTTCCAGCAAGGGCAAGGCTTGGCGGACCTCTTCCTCAGAGGCTCAGGGCTGTCAAGAGGACAAGATGGTGCACAGTTTCTTACAGCAGAGCTACAAAAGCCCAGGCTAGAAAATGGAGGCTGATGTCCCCAAGGGAACACAACAAAGACAAGCAAGAAAACCACTGGAGAATGCCGATGGAGTGCATGCCTCCTTCCCAGGGTGAAAATAGCAGCCGTGTAACTCAACCAGCACGGAGCCAGCAATCCTTCTGGGGAGGCATTGGGTTGACGTGAGCCCCTCATAAAAGAGCTGTGTGTCTCTGCCTGGATTAAACGTGCTGGAGCTCAGCTCTGGGGAGGGGGCTCGTGCAGGGCGACAGCCAGAATTAAACCAGGAGCAGGCGAAGCCTCAACAGCTGTGAGCAGAGAGGGCTGGGAGATGCCCGATGGTCCCAGATGGCCCCGCTGACAGCTGGGGAGGTCTCTGCTTTGTGCACACAGCTGTTGGCTGCAGGAATCCACGTGTTGGTGCTCTGCGTGGGCTCATTCATCCCAGCAGGGCAGAGAAACTGGATTTCCTTGGAGGAACATTAATCCATGGGTGTCTTCTTCAGCTCAGCCAACAGGGCTGGCTGGGACAGTGGCCCAGATGGAGTGTGCATGTGGCTGGGAAGGCATTGCCTTGCCCTAATTCTCTGCAAGATGCTGAATCTTTGGCTGGTTTCTCCCCATCTCTCTCTCTGCTTCCCAAACCCACTCATCCCACCTGTTCTTAAAATCCCCGCTGCATGTACTGCTGCTATTTAAAGCCCCATCTGACGCTGTATATGTACCAAAGAGGGCTGCAAGATGCAATCCTGAATAACACAGGGAGGCCAGAATGTGACAGACAGGATGGGGACGAACGGACTCAGGCACCCAATGTGCACCAGCAGCACTGGGGGGACTCGGGAGGGGTCATTTGTTTTTCAGCACAGCCAAAGCATGTGGCAGGCTGTAGTTCAGAGGAAATGCAGAAGTTGGAAAGTGCCATATGCCAATAAAGAGTTTCAGACAGCAAAAGAAAGAAAAAAAAAAGGAAAAGATGTAGAACAGAGCAAGTTGCGCATGGAGCTTCCAGCCCTTTGGGTTTTACTCTCAGCTGGCACACGTGGTTGGGAAAAAGCTGGCAGTGATGACAGCAAAACAGGCAGCGTGGTGCGGCGTGGGACTGCCAACGGGAAACCTGAGCTGTGCGCCTGGCATCTCATCCCAGTCCCTGTGCCTCGGTTTCCCCAGTTCTGCAAGGAAAATTGGATGTGGAGGTGAACATGGCACCGCTGGCAGACACCTCTGTGACATCTCTGCTTCAGTCCCCAGAGGATTCAGGCAGAGCTCTGGACACAGCACCCAACAGGCTACACGCACAGCCCTACAGGACCCTTTCCAGATGCTGGTAGCCTTCTCCAAGTCCTTTCCTACAAAAAGCTGGCAATTCCTGCAATAGCTCATGCTGCCATTAATACTACTTTTGAGCTGATGAAAAAATCTCTGTTCACGGGAATACTTGTGCACTAATAATTCCCCAGAAAGGATAAATAAATATATTTCCTGTCAGCTAAATGAAAACCAGCCTTGCAATCATCCATCAACCTCAGCACCCCAGTAGGAATGCGAGTCTTGCTAAGCATGGGAGCAAGCCATTCATTAGCGCGTCCAGCGTGATTAGAGTTCCCAATGTCCACACAGCCAGCTCTCGACTTTCCTCAGCTATATAAACAAAGCTGCCTCCGACCCTGCTGCCTAACAGGGGTGTGCTGGCACAGCAGAGATGCAAGGAGAGGAGATGCAAGGCCGTTTCCCAGCCATTGCAATGAAATGGGAGAACGGGGCTCTGTGTTCTGGGTGCGGTTCGCTCCCACCTACAAGATCAGTGCACTGAGGTCAGGAAGCTGCGCCATTCCCATCCCAATCCGGGGGAATTGGGCCCTGTTTTGGAAGATAACATCTCAGTCAAAGGCTGGATTGCAACAATGAGAGGGCAGAGGATGATTGGGCTACAGGGATGAGCTGCAATTTCTTTGCCTGTTGACAAGGCACACAGGGATACTGCATGGCACGAATTCTTACCGGTGATCTCCCTGATGAGGATTGGCTGCTCCAAGGTAGCTGGGACGCTGGTGCCACTGGCACTGATGGCCTTCACCCGCACGTGGACCTTCTCACCAGAGCCAAGGTCCTGGATCTTGTAGCGGGTGGAGAGAAAAGGCTCCTTGTTCACAGCTGTCCAGTCCGTACCTGGAACAAACCCAGCAAGGCTCTACAGATGCAGCACGGCCAGATGGATGCACGCCCCCCAGACAGCAAGATCAAACCCCAGGAGGTGAAACAGAGAAGCAACCCTTGGAAGGTTGGAAAGGGTTGGAAAGTTGTGCCTTAGAAAGGCACAAGCAGAAAGATTCATGTCATCAGATTTGGGGCACCTGGCCTCCCCACCCTGCCAAGGAGTGTGGGTTACAGCTGGCAGGTGGTCAACTGCTGTGCAGGAGGCAATCTGCAAGGCGTTAGGCCAACAAACATGGGCTCTGCTGACATTCCAGGTGCATTTCTGGAAGTAGTTAAGATCCTCTGACCACCCTGCCAGCCTATCTTTCAAATCCTGAGGATCCTTTGCTGTGGCTTACCGTGCTCCCCTGCACATTCTCCACATTGGGTAAGGCCTGCCCATCACCTGCCACTGGCATTACTCTACCTTCACTCCAATCTGACCATGTTTTGGCCACCCAAGTTCTTGTACCAGCCCAAATGCAGCAGTCTCAGAGCCCACGTGGCCATCACTGAGTGACTACTCCTCTTCTGCCACTCAGCCAAGGCCAAAGCAAGCTAGGAGAGCATCCAAAACCATGACCTTTGGTGGCTGTTAGCCAGCTTCCTCCAGGAACACCTGCATCTTTGGACCTCCTCACAGGTCCTGTCAAGCCAGTTACCTCCTCCAGCCCGACAGAAAGCCTCCCCTGGCCAAGCTTGTAGTTTTGCTTGTGTTGATCATGTCTGCCACAAGCTGAACGGCTAAAGGCCACAGGTCAAGTTTCCATGGACCCCCTGGATCTCCCAAACTGCTCCAGCCTCACCCAGCACCCAGCCCAGCAGCCCCAGCCTCCCCTTGCTGTCCCCACACACACCTCATTCGCTCTCACCCCAAGGCCAAGCAGGGTTTCACAAGAGCACCCAAAACACATCTCACCCACCTCCTTCATTCCACCAACAAGCCATGCAACCGGAGAACCGCAGCTAATTGCTGCCGCCCACCAACCCATCTCCATCCTCTGCATCCATCCTCCTTCCAGGCTCTTTGAGCCCCATGTTCCTGGGGGTGGGCTTGCCTGCTGATACATGCCAGCCTCCCACGCCACCCAGCAGAACACTTTCCCCTCTCGTCCCCCCATCTTATCCCCATTCCTTTAAGCAGACATGGGAGATTTGTGTCTTTATCCTCCCATGGTCTTGTCTGCCTGTCCCAGTTCCATAGGTTCATGATCACCAGACCATCCCCCACGGGCCTGCTGCTCCCTCCTCCAGCCTTGAGCTGGATACAGAAGTGACATTAAACCCCTGCAGTCCAGCCCATTGCTAAAGAGACCACCAACAGCTGAAGCCAGCGAGATGACCCTCTCCTTTATAGGAAAAAAATATATATACCACTTAAATCAAAGTATCTGGGGCAAAGAAAGGAAAATGGGCTGCACAGAAAGGTGCTGCCAACTTCCACCCAGCTCCGTCCCACACCTCTGCAGCACCTTGCCCACTCTCATGCTTATGAGGCAGGAAAGCCCAAGCCTACTTCCATCTTTGCAGATCTCCACCATGTATCCATCCAGGCTCGATTTGCCCGTCTGCTCCGGTGCTTTCCAGGTCAGTGTAACAGAGTTTTCAGTCACTTCTTCCACAGCCAAGGACAAGGGGATGCTGGGCGGCTCTGCAACAAAGCCACGGAGTGAGGGCAGGCTGTGGGCTCTTGGGGAGCAATCAGCCCACCCACCCTACCCCCCCAGCCCTACCCCCCTCCCAGAATATCACCGTTGATCTCATGCCCCAACTTTTCACCCATATGTGTCCCCTTCTCATCCTTGCACCTTCCCCTCCCCACTTCACTATCCAGTCCCCTCCTCACCTTCTTTGGGTTTCTCAGGCTCAGGCTCTGGGGCTGGGGCTTCAGCCGGGGCAGCCGGGGGGGATCCTTCCTCATGGGCTGGAGCCGCTTCAGCCTCATGGGCCGGAGCGTGCTCAGCTGCAGGGGCCGCAGGCTGCTCCGCATCGGGGTGATGCTCGGGGGCTGGGGGTGTTTCAGCAGCGGGGGCTGGGGCATGCTCTTCCTTTGGGGTGTGTGCTGGCTCTTCCTTTGGGGTGTGTGCTGGCTCTTCCTTTGGGGTATGTGCCGGCTCTTTCTTTGGGGCTGGTGCTTTCTTCGAGGCTGGTGCTTTCTTTGCAGCAGCTGGAGCCGTTTTGCCAGTCATAGCTGCAAAGCCGAGGGGCTGTTCTGGGGTCTCCGCTCCGGGATCTCTGCTTTCAGTGGGGATCCCCGTTCCAAACCAAAGGTCTGTCCAGACTTGGGATCTTAGCTCTGAAGCTGGAGTCCCTGATCTGTATCGGGAGTCTCCACTCTGGATCCAATATCTCCACTCTGAAGGGACGGGCTGTGCTGCAGGACGGCTGTGCTGGGAGGGGGGAATCGGGTCACTGAGCCAGGACAGGGGCTGGAGATTTTTATAGGCTTGAGCTGGCACTTGTCACCTCCCTGCAAACCAATCTGCCTGCGCAGGCGGGGGCCTCCAGGAATAGCCACCCGGGACCTGCACATTCAGCAGCACGCCCCTACCCCCTCCTATGGGACTGCAACACATGGTCTTGCCCCCCCCAACCCCCCCCATGCCTGCACGGGACTGTGCAGGCCAGGGCCAGGTCACCTTTCTTTGGGGACACAACTCCTGTTCCCACACCACCACCACTGTGAGCTTCCCACCCCACCACTGCCATCTCAGTTGTTACCTTCCGGCCCCAGATTCTGTGCTCACCCCACACACCTCATGCCTTGTCCCAGACAAGACCCTCCATCTCCTGATCTCCGCATTGCTCCCCTGATCCGCTTGCCCCCCAGGTCCTTCCTTATTCCCTGCCATCACCTAAGGCCACTGTGCTCCCCAGTTCAGTCCCAGAAACCCAGAAGAGCTGAGGCTGGAAGGCACTTCTTGAGATCATCCAGACCAACCCCTCACCAAAGCAGGGTCACCAAGGCAAGATGTTCATGAGCTTCCTCACTTCTTTGTACCCAGGTCCTCTCCTAACTCCTACCTGAGCACCCAACCCTTCCCAGTCCCACAGTCAGCACCAGATCCCCTCTCTCCATGTCCTCCCCACCGCTCCTTGGCCTTGATACAGCTGCTTTCCCTATCACAATCCTCAGCACAGCCCCATGGACACCTGCTCTGTGCTTTCCCCAGCCCTGCTGACCCACATTCCTGGAGAACATTGAGCACAGGCCAGCCTTGCAGTGTCTTGCAGCCTTGGCTCTGCACATACAAAGCAGAACTGTGTCCATGGGGTCTGATCACCCCAGGACTCACATGCAGCCACTTTTCTGCCAACCTCACATTCCAATTCATCCCAAAGGACCACTGTAACCCAAAGCCATGTTATTCTATAGGATATAAACCCACTCACCCCTCTGCCTGTCCTTGTTTCATTTGCTGCCATATCACGCATGGTATGCTACTAAAAATGCCTCTGTAACCTATGGTCTAATTCCTTAGCCTTCCTCAAATTCGGGTCAACAGAGTGTTTTCTCCTCTCCCCAGCTATTTCCCTCCATGGATGCTGTATGGAGGAGATTCTGGGCATTTCTCCAAAGGCTCACAGCTACGTGGTCCCCAGGAAACACCTCCAGACACAAACATCAGGGTCAAGAGAGCACTCAGGGACAGCTGGTACACAGAGCTCTGTGCTCTGACAGATGATGATCTGATGGGAGAGGTTTTCTGGGTGGAGCTGGGGGTACCCTGGAAGGGCATGGAGCAAAGCAAAACCCCAGGGGCCAGGCTGGTGTTTAATGAGGGGGTAACATCCGAGAAAAGATCTACTGAGCTTTGAAGGATGTGTCCCATGGGAAGGAGGACCCTGGGTGGGAAAAGGAGCTGGTGGGAAGAAAAGTGGCCAGGACAACAGTGCTGGTTGTTGGGCCCATTGGGTGCTACTTGGATGCTGGGTTTGGCCAAGCACGGGGATCTGCTTCTGGGCATGGAAACAGGGACAGCGAGCACTGGTGGCTGCACAAAGGCATTGCCTGATGTCCTCTACACAGCAGAGGGTGGCTGCCAGCCCTCAGGAAGAGTGTGAAGGAGACCTCCCATTTTCTGCCTGCCGTGCTCCTGTAAGGCGAGAAGAAAACTCATCATTGGCCCTGTAAGTCAAAGGCGGATCCAGCAGTGTGAGCACAACCCCCAACACCCCACTCCTCTCATTGGCTACAGAGTCTGCAATCTGCAGCACGACACTCCTGCCCCACGGTCTGTCCATCCTTCTCCACCATCCTTCATTCCCTGGGCAGTAGGATTGGGGAAAACTCCATTTCTTCTACGCCTTGAGCCACCAAGACTTTGTCCAGTCTTTGACCTCCTCAATCTAAATGAAGGTGGAATGAGACCTCCCAGCTCCTCTGCCCAGAGCTGGCCCTCTGAGTGCTATCTCCATGGGGGACTTCAGCCAACACACGGCCTTGTCATGGCTGGCACACACCTGCTGGCCTTTCCCATCAGCTCACTGGTGGCCATTTTATGCACCAACTCTGCTTGAAGCCTTCATTTTTTCCCCCCAAAAATGACTGTGATGTCTAATCTAAACCACAACACTTTGCAAAGAGGAATTTTCTTTCGATTGTGTGTCGAGAAAAGCAATTTTAGAAGCTCAGAGAAAAGAATTAAAAAGAAGATCGATACCAAAATTCTGTCTGTAAGGAAATGAGCACTCTGATTTCTATTTCTATTTGTGTGAGTGCAGTTGCAAATTAAACATTTTCCCCTGGAAAGGAACATCAATGCAATTATTCCACTCGCAGTTCTTGATACGAACAAAATCTGAGTTTTTAGGACCTGCTGGGTGACGTTTCCACGTTGTTTGCTCTGTTGACTCACAGGATGACTCATAGGTTAAGAGCAAGTGAATCAGCACAGCTTATCACCCAGCCTTATCTGGGCCACGTTACCGTAGTATATTGGCATCTTGTTAATTCTCACATCACCAGCGAAGCCACCATACATTAAATGCACTCAAGCACAGAAACACTGCGTTCCCTGACGGGGGTCACCAAGGCATCGTGGCTGGTTGCCCAAACCCAAAGTCAAAGGGCTCCCAAAGGGACCAGCCTCGAGGTTTGGTCACTCACCTCAACATCCTCAATTGTGGATGAATGATGGGGAGGGGGAAAGGGGGCCAAGGAGCCACTTCTGCAATAAAGATGGAGCAGAGTGTCCCCAGAGGACCCGTGCTTTGTGGGGAGCTAAAGTTAGTGTGCTGGTGGGAGAGTAGGAGAAACCCACTGGTGTGGGAGATGGGGACAAAAGGAGATGTCCGATGGGAACAGAGCTCCACCTCAGCGTGTGGCCACCTCCAGTCCTGTCCATGCTGTGTGCACTGGGATTCCATGGAAAACACCCCAACCAACCCAGACAAATGCCCACAGGAGGCGCCCAAAGCCCTTTGGAGCCCAACCCCTCCTTGCAGGGGTTAAGCCAGACCTCCTCAAAACCGTGGCGCTCACACGGAGACCACGCAGCCACCAACCACAGCCACCAGCTCAGGGTCGTGTCATGCCTGCCGTCACTTCCAGGCTCCAGCAGCATTTCCAGGCTGCCCGTCACCACGATATTCACAGCACGCTGAGTCAAGCACCGGGGCAGGCAGCAGGTGGGCTGAGATGCAGACAAGCTTTCCGTCTGGTGCACCGCACGCAAGCAGATGCTTACTTCACCCCACAGCAATGAGAGCAGGCAGGGACTCAGCGGGGACATGGGAGCAACCCCTCCTCTGAAGCCCCCAGGCGAAGTGATGGATGACTTTAAAATGTCCTTATTGACTGTGCAGAACAGCCAGGCAATCGAGAGACGCATCCAGCACCATTCAGGGTGTCTCTGAGCTCCTATTGGGGTATCAGCTAGGAATGCAAATATGGGTTGTGCTGCCCAGCCCGGTGGATGCTGTAGGATTGTCCCCACGATGTGATCACGCATCATCTCACACCACCAACACTGAGCGTCCCTGTGGCTCAATTTGGCACCTGGGGATCACCCACCCCCAGCACCGGCTCACCAAACCATACTGTTGGAGGCTGGAGCTGAAGTCGTTCCACTGGAGCAGCCAGATACAGGCAGGAGGATACCAACACTTAGCCCTGCTAGCATCAGGGTGTTATTTTTGGGCAGAATTGGGATAACCATCCTCCAAGCTGGCAGGGGAACAGCAACAGAGAAACCCAAGCGGGGATGCCCAGACTCTGCCCAGTGCCTCACTGGGAGCAGAGCCCAGCTCAGCTTTCCTGGAGGTGGCAGCCTGATGGGGAACGCTGTGTCACAGTGGTGTCAGCAGTGCCACCACTGAGGCAGCCCCATTGCACATCGCACAGGGCAGGAGCAGCAACCTCCCAGGTCAGCACAGGGGGGCAGAAGCACCTGTGGGCCTTGGTACCCCATAAGTCACCCACGTCCGGCACCCGGAAGCCATGATAAAACCAATGCATTGCTTTGCCTCCCATGGCTTTTTTTCCAACCCTGCCCCACCTCCATGGCTGCCAGCAGGAGCTTACCTATGCCAGGCTGAGCCCATGCCAGCCCTGCTGTCCTCAGCCTGCTGGGGGTCACCTCCACCAAGGGCCAGGGAAGCAGCTGGGGATGCCAATAAGGCTCTGTCACCACCTGCCCTGCCTGGTCTCCCTCTGGGACAGGCTGCAGACAGCATAACCCAGAATCCTGCTTTGCTGAGCTCGGTGCCTGCAGCCCCAGGTAGCATCCAGTGCATCCCAGTTAGCCCAGCCCTGGTGTAAAACACATCCCACCACCAGCTACAGCCTAAGGCACGCACTCACTTCAGCATCCCCTTGCCTCCACCACCTGCCAGACACAACTCTGACATCTCTGGGTCTTCTCCCCCGTCCTTCCTGCAGGATCAGCACTGCAGATTTCCCTCCCCAGCTCCTTGCTCCCATTCACATCTCTCATTTACTTGCCCACCCACACCCCCTTTGGCACAGGTGCCATGTGTGCTACCCTTGCCCAGGATGCTGTGATGCTGAGAGGAGCAAACCTTGGACAAGGGGCGGCGTATCCTGGATCCCCCCACCCCAAAGTCTCCCTCTAATCCACGCACCATCATTCAGGACCTCCCTGCCATGCCCCCTCCCTGCAGGGTTCACAGGATGGGATGGGGGCTGTGAGAGGTCAGACCATGCCCACAGTGCCATGACTTGCTCCACATCCCAGGAAGTGGGAAAACAAACCCACTTCAGGATTATCCAACAGTGGCCCAGCTGCACCCTTCCCTGCTGCCAGCAGAGAGCATCATGGGGACATTTAACCAAGCAGTCCTCACGCTGGGTCCCCGCTAAAACCTCCAGATACTGCTCCAGAATTTGGGAAGATGCCTTTTTTGTCCCCACAGATATGGCCCAAGTCTGTTCTGGATGCTCCATGTGTGCCTGCTGTGAGGAA